TATAGCTGTATTGGGGTCTTGGGATTATTATGTGAAATATTTGATGATCTGAATATGCACTCTGAGATCATTCATATAGCTGTATTGGGGTCTTGGGATATTATGTGAAATATTTGATGATCTAAATATGCACTTTGAGATCATTCATATGGGTACTATTATCTGAAATATATGCTTTTCGGCATGTTGAAAACTAGCTATTATTAGACTGTGTGTCCATTTTGAATAGTACTTGACCACTTGTTGATTGACAATAATTTGTTTCTGTTTCTGCAATTCAAAATTAGGTTAAATCCTCATTCAGACCTTCAAATATTTCACATAATACCCTCCTAATAAAGGGTGGATGCTCTGAGAATGCAACTTTAATCTTCTGTATATACAAATGTAACCTGATTATACACTCCTGCTCTTCTGTATTGACACTTAACACAGTTGATTTGAGCAAATATTGGTGTTAACCATTATGTAATTATTTTCTATCTTGCAGGATGTAGACTGTGTTGTAAAACACAAGAATGGCAAAACAAGACACATAAAATTAAATCACACAATGAACGAAACGCAGATCCGATGGTTCATAGCTGGTAGCGCTTTGAATAAAATGGCAAAGAAAATAAAAAATCAATAGTTACAATTGTGAAGCATTTTAAGTTTTCTGTATGAAGTGTTAGCATGAAGGGAACAATAATTTCAGTATAATTTGGTGCTGAATCATACTGACTAATAATACCTTGTATTTCAAGATTTCTTATGTTTTAGTGTGAATCTATTTTTCAAGTTTTTGCAGTCATTAGCTCTGCCCTGTAAATGTCATAATTTCTATATTTTCTTACAATGGATCTCTTTTTTGATCACCCTTTTGACAGTATCAATTGTTTCTCCTGAATTTATTGTATGTTCATCCGTTCATTGTTCGGAGACCGTACGGGTAGGGGTCCTCTTCTCTGGTTCGCCATCTGGTCCCAGTGAGATACGCCTGAATTGTGCACCAGTTATCCTCCATTTGAATGCACTCTGCCGTATCATCAATGTCCTCCAATCCAAGCACTGATGCTACTTTAGCTTTATTTACTTGAAATGCATAACAATGTTTGGAATGTTTTATTTTTTCCTTATCTGTACAAATTTTAAAATTGAAGTTGCTTTAATTAAAGCTGTCATGTTTGTTTCATAACATCCATCCTTTACCAAATAAAATCAACTGTATTTAATATTACAATGTTTCTTTGGCGTGATAAATTATACCCAAATGTTTTATTTTGGTATCAATCGAGATGTTATTCAAGGATGTGGGTCCCATGCAATGAAATGCATTATTTGTGCACTGTATGACAGCCACTGTACTTTAATCGCCTACAAGACTTGTCTGAAATAAAAAAAATCACCTTGACACGCGGTTCGGGATACAGTACTTTTGAAAACAATGGAGTTGACACTAGCATTTGAGTGCCACCTAAAGTCATTGATGAATTATTAAAAATAGTATGGCACCCCCTTCAAATAAATTTATTCATCAGTGATATTTAGTCTGAAATATTACTGATATGCATGCTAAATGTCATTGATCGGTTTGTGACAATTGCAGACTAGAAATTGTGTATTTTAGAGTTTATTTTGAAAACATTCACTGAAACATGTAAACTCAGTTGGTGATTTCTCTGATCGGTTTCACACTTGAGCTTATCATGCGATAGATGCATGTACAGTTTGTACATCATCCAGCTCTAATGAGCAGTGAAATAGATTAGCAACATAGATCTTGGGAGAGATGTGGCCTACTATAGTATAAATTGAATGGGCAATAGCCACATAGAGCAGAGAATAACTCGCGAGCGTGATGAAAAGGAGCAATTGTTTTAAACTATGAAGACGTACAGTATGCTAGTCAATATACTTTAGACTCAAATGACAGCCACAAGACTTGCCTCTCAAATATTGCAGGGGGGGAGTCATCACCTGCACAGACAACAATTGTTTACAAACTAGCATCTACCCATGCCTTTTTCAGTGTGAGTTATCGCTTAGAACTTGATTTCTGTGTGTGCATGGTCAAGTGATGACCCCTTCCACTTTAAGAATACACACTAGGCAGAATTTGAGGAGTTGAAGAAAACAAATTGCTCATTGGTCAGCCTGTTAGGGCAGAGTAAGTAGCTTTGCATGGACTCCATACTGTTTCATTCATTTTCTTCAACACAGATGCAATGTGAAAAGTCTTGTTGCGGCCATTCACATTTAAGATGTTTCACTGACTCTTTGTCGTATTTGTCTTAAAGAATCAACCCTGCATGTGGTGCAATCACTTTATAGCATGCTCAACGTTCTTTATTGGGAGTGATAATTGAAACATTTTGCTTATTTCCTGTCATGCATAAATGGTCTCCATTTTAGTTTCAAAGTTACTACACTAAAACTGACATATCCTCATGTATGCATAACATTACCGCAAAATATGCCCATGTACAAGAATGGCTCTAGGAATGTAATGAAGTAATGTGTACTTTTATTATCGTGGAAGGGTACACAATTACAGAAGTCGGCATTAACAAATGACATACTTAATGGTGGCAATTTAGACGAACTTTTTCTTAGTTTTCATTGATGAAAATGTATGTTTTAAATTTGGCATAAACTGGATCAAATTTTTTGACACTTAAATAGCAAGGCAGTGAAAGCAAATAACATATCGCACCATGATTTGTATATGTGAGAACCACATTTCTTAGTGTTCCCATTGAAAACAAAAGAACTGAATTATCAACCACTAGGTGGCGCTTTTAATAACAATCTAACAAGTTGTCATCATTGCTTTCACTTGAGTACAACATATCATCAATGAGAGCCAGAGGATTCCACTCGTATATGTCAACACTTCGGGACTTTTCGCTCAGAATACGATCTAAATCAGTCTTTAATAAAAAGTCAATAAATTTAATATCAAGTTTGTGCTTCACTGTTAGTGCATTCTTATCTTTGCCATCAAGTCCCTTGACTATTAACTCTTTCAGTGTTATCAGGATTGTACAAGCCTTCTCTGCCACCACTCTGTCATGGTCATCAGAACTACTTTGTAATCCTTCTAAACAACCAGTCTTCTGAATGTGATACAACTCATCCCAAATAGACTCCGTCAGATTCTTTGTCGCAAAACATGGAAGATAGTGATGGATAATCACCTCCCAGAAGTTCAACACGCTGAGTTTTACTTCAAAATCTAAATCGTGACTGGCCTGAAGCATGATACTGAACACTGAGCGGTGTTCGGTGTTGCTTTCTCCTGCATCCTCCTCTACCTTGTGGCCGATCTTATAAGTAGAGTAGTTGCTGCTTAGTAGATATGATCTGATTTGTGGATGCTTCGTCAACCATTTTAAAAAAACGTCGACTGCAGCTCTTCTGGGGAATGCTTCAGTATCATGGAGGAGCACATTAGTTACAGTTTGTACCACAGATTGCTGTAAAATGAAGTCAAAACAAGTCATTGTAAATGATTCGGATATTAACAGAATATCCAGAATTTCACAACTTACTAAGATATAAAGCCCCAAAAATTCCATTATATAATTATATGCAATGAAGCTTTAGACAGACATTCAACTACAATTAACAGTGTTACTTCACCTTTTCCAGGTTTAGTTTATTCAACTTGTCACCTCTGATCAGATCATTCTCATATCGTACAAACAAAATTGCATAATCCACACATGAATCAGTTAGAAATATCAAATCAAACATTATGCGTGATGTTCAATACTAAGTTACACCAAACATGCCTGAGTAAAAAGTAGCCACCGGTTGTTCAGAGCTTATTGAAATAAAAAACATATCGAACATCTACATCATTATATCTCATCTGTCTAGGTATGGGTATGGGGACGCATGAAAATAACAATATGGCCACCAGTCGGCCATTTTGTATATGGGTCAGTAACCCATCATGTGTTCATACCAGGGTTACTATATTTTAGTATCAGTGTTCATACAAAGTCTGAATAAAAATCGGCCAAGACATGCATGAGAAACAGTTGCATGTACAAATACTGTTTGTTTAGTCTACAATGGCCACCAAGTCGGTCAGAGGTCAACAATATGAAAAACAAACATGCAACTTGATCAATGTGCCTTGTTGTTGAATCTCCTTTGAACAAGTCTTAAAAATGATCAGTCAGATGATTGGAACCCAAAACACAATTCCCTGATTCAGACTCGCATGCATCAATTTTAGAAAAGAGATTGGCCACAAACATTTTTGGTTTGTTTTTAGTGTAACATACCATTGTCTGTTCACATGTTGACATAAACTGCAACCATAATTCCTCACACAATGACATCTGTGCCAGTGAAAACAAAGACGAGGCTCTGACATAACTATCATCATCATCTCTAAGTTTCTCCCAAACCTCTTTGCCGAGTTTTGACTCTACAATCCAAGCTACAACATTTCTATTATCTGAATCAGAAGGGAGATGGAAAGTTGTTATGGTTTTACATTTATACACAACAGTTTTTGTGCAGCACATATGCAAATATCATGTAAACAAAAAATATTATATTATATCACATACAAAAAAAAAAGTCAGGAGAGATAACAGTGATACCCAATGTCCGGAACTGTCGCCTGGCACAAAAAAAACATATTGAAAACGACAACAACTATCACCCTTTTTGTGCACTTTTTTCTTTTTTGATAATATATGCAATATGTGGCCATTTTTTCAGCTGAAGAAAACAGAATGCAACAGGAACAATAAAAAACAAGTTTATTACATTGGATTAACCTTTATATTGTCATTCTTTTTCTAAAATGTTAGTCAAGACCTCAGTATTCATCAAGACAATGGTAATTTATGTCTATTTGATCTAAAATAAAATCAAAGATGAACTATGTAAAGCTGTTGTTTTATGGAAAAAAAATATCTAAATAATGAATATTCCCAACAATCAGTTATAAAATCAAAGTTAAACTACGTAAAGCTGTTATTTTATAAAAAATACAAATATCTAAATGATGAATATTCCCCAACAGTCAGTGAAAGAGCAATAGCATTATAGATTAAGATCATCAGATAGCAGGTGTTCAGCACCAATATACAGAAAATTTGATCAAAATCCACTTTGAATTTTTTGAGATTTTGCATACACAGACTGAAATGAGATTACCTTCATTGTTGCAGACAAGGAGGCTAAAAATAAATGTTTCACCAGAATGATGGTGTTTGAGTATTACCTGACAACTGTGTAATATCAGTGATGAAATTAATAACAGAATCTCTGACATCCCATCTAGTGTCATATGATCTTTTCTGTAATATATTAAAGAAGACTTTTGACAGAATAAGGTCACTGGGCTGACTGCACGCCTCTGTATCCTGTAAGCGTGGTTTCTTAGCAACCAGTTCATCTCCAGATTCACTTTCTGAACTTGTTGATTGACGTAGTATGGCGGTGATGGTCTTCAGCGACTTGCAGATGACCTAAATAAAAGGCAAACGATAATGAGTAACTTATTATGAGTAGTTTTTATTTAGTGTTTCTTATCTTCTAATGTATCACATTCAGAACAATTTTCAACTTCCCTTTTTCAATGTCAAGTTGATGAGCACCCCGACTAAATTTAAAAATCTGTTTAAATCATAGACTATATAGAGTTTATGTCTAAACTGAAACCTGCTTAACTTGAACATGTCTAAACCAAAACCACCACATCCAAAAATGTTCTCAATCAATTTGGAACATATTTTCACTTACATATCGGTATTTTCACTAGATTGAATTTAATTGTTTTCTTGTGCTATGCGAAGGACATTAAGTACTGCCTCTGTTGTCTCTAGACACTTTACATGTGGGGGACTCATCCAGGTTTGGGGTGGGTGGTTGTGGGTGGGGGGTTAATGTTGGCAAAAAAAACATAAATATATCGTTATAAATTCTTTTTCATTCAAACAAATGAAACAATCAATTTGTATTTGGACATAAACATAATAATTACTATGACAACCAGGCCAACATGAAATGTTCAGGATTTTGCAACTCTTCACACACCCAGACAATTTAATTACAATTATAATTGCTTGATTGGTTTAAAATATTTCTATCCTAGGTGACAGCTATTTAGATATTGGAATCCATGGTTTCCTCTCCGACTATGTTCCTAGGTTTCATAATGAGTTGGCATTTTTATAATAGTAACCATGACGATAATTTCTAAACTCATCATCCAATAATTGATTGGTTCAGATGATGAGAGAGATTATGATTAAATGGAATGTCTGATTGCGAAACGTACCAATGGGCTCATACCATTAGAACTCCATAGATGACAATGTTAGTGTTTGAGATAATGTCTCCAAAAAAGATCAAAATATTTTTGTAATTTGGTGAAACCACATGCATGTAATAGAATTCTGGCCAGTAAAACACATGTTGGTCAGCTCAAACTCCTACAAAATGGATGTAAACAAAACACACAGATTTGTCAGGTTTCAATATTCTCAGAAAAGCAGCCAGTTTGAAAGAGTCTAATCAAGAGCTGCCGAGATTTACAGGTCACCGGTACTTGTCAATAAACATTTAAAGTTGCCAGTCGGCCATTTTCAATTGAATCGTGAAACATCACCCACCACGTGCAATGTTTATACAAAGTTTGACATAAGTACAGTACTCGTTTTTAGACCAGTCCAAGTGGGCAGTGGCTATAAAGAGAAAATTATAAAGTACCGATATACAGAAAAACACAGAAGTGAGACTTTTGTGAAAAGACTTTTGAGTTTTGGAAGTGAAGTATAAGAAAAAAACTGATTTTTTTTAACTAATAATTATCCACAACACATACATAAATAAATAAAAATACAAAAATAAGAAAGAATGAAGATTCTCCATTAAAAAACAATAGATGAGGTAAAAAAAAAAACTTGCAATTAACTTATATACACTATGTACAATGTATATGTGTGTTGATCAATTCAAATATGTAGAACATATTTTTTTTAAGAGTTATTTTATAGATATAGGAGTGTTGTAGTTGATATTATTTGATTTGAAATTTTGAATTTAGATTTTTTAATAAATTGTTAAATCTCATATTATATCTATACTGATAAAGTGTTAGATCTTCTTTTTTCTACAGTATAATTTCTATGTGGTATTGTAAAAGCATTAATTTTAACTGATAACTGATATTTGATCATATTCACTGGCAGTGCGACAATCAGTCAGCTTATTGACTGCGACAAAAAGAATGTTGTGGCCCCTGACTTATTTTGTTTTTATACAAGGAGTCAATAAGCCGAAGGTTTACTGTAATTTGATTAACTTTTTATTGAGTGAAAAAAAACAAAAATTCAAAACAAAAAAGAGAAAAGACATAAAGCAGCCACACTTCATTATTTCACTATACCACACACACATGGACAATTGACCTACAACAGTAAAGATCACTCACCCACAACAAAAACACGCTAAAACAGTTTACATTCAATGAAAGGTCAAAGGTTAACAAGCGAGTCCAACACCTCACTTCATTCATACCACATTGCTTAATTTCCTTTCTATTTTTCTTCAAACTATGCAGAAAGTTTTTGAAGGACTAACGAAAAGGATAGGAAAAGTGAAGTTTTGTTTACTGGTATTATACAGCAGATAGAGATCGAGTTTTAAGAGGGTTCTTTTCAGCGATTGATTAATGAGGTTTTAAGTCTTATGTAAATGAGGGTGCCAGCTGCAAAAAAGTAGCGTGAAAGACAGTTATTGAGAATTTTTGGTGAAAATGTAGAGCATGACACTGTAAAAACTGAAAACGACGACAGAGAGTAAAATTCAGGGCTACAAAAATGGACCAGGGTGTAGAAATTTCAAGAAGATTAAAGATGGATAAATTTCCAGTTCCATTTCCAGATATCACAAAACCAGTTCAAACAGGGGTGAGTATGTCTGATGTAGTCGCACAGGTAGGGAAAAAGATAAGGGTATATACTGTATGTGTATGAACTGCGATAAAAAAAAAACAATGACAATTTCACTGAAACTATTATTCTAAACTTTCTCTTGTACATTTTTACACTCAGAAAACCGAGGGTCAGTGGGTAATTTGCACTATGAAACATGGATGAAAATGTTTGAAGTCAGTTTTTCATGTTTGCAAGATGTCGCTTCAATTATTTTTTTGGCTAAATAATAAATAATGAAACTTAGTAACATGTTATATAATTTTTAAGGTCTAAAATTTTGTAAAACAATTCACAATCGGCAGTCATGAAATTTCTGAAATGTACCATGCATAACTTGAAATTGTATTTCAAAAACATAATTCTATTTCAAACCGTGCATAGAAGCACAAAGCGATTTCTGTGAACTTTGGGCTGCAAACTAATGATATTTTCCAAGTGTTCTTATCTCTTCATTTATAATCCCCAAAAGCATTCAACTTCAACACAATTTCAGCAAACACTTACGGTATCTTAACTTCTATTATTAGTCCAATTATTACATCATCAATGGTACAATTTACAACAATCTCTGTTTTTACAGACAACTATCATGGCAACAGAATTTAATGATGGAGTCGTGATCGGAGGAGATACCAGAACAACATCTGGGTAAGTTGCTATAGAAACTATCATAACTCCTTTCAAGTATTGAAAACTGACGTCTTGAATTGTAACATAATTGCTATAACTATATCGGTATATCTATCACGAAAAACAAAAGAATTTATTTATTGAAATTCACTGTAAAGGTGTTGGTGAAAAAATCTATAACTTTGGGATTTTCAAAAATTGTGGTGGAAGAAAAAATATTAATATTTAATAATTTTTTTTAAATATTTTTATTAGGACTATTATCACACACAAAGTGTCAGATAAAATCACCGAGATCACAGATAGTATCTACTGTGCCAGATCGGGTAGCTTGGCAGATACGCAAGCATTGGCTGACATTATTAAATATTATATGGATATGTACAGGTAAATGACAACTCTGTGTCCTTACAAAAAAAAGACTGTCAGTTAACGTTGAAATCGTTGTTAACATTTCATTCACAGTAATACAAATTGTTACTATATAAACTGTCAGAGCTTGTGAACTGATACAACTGTGATTACTCGATGATGCAAAAAAAAAAAATCATCTTCTGGGACTAATCACTCATTTGATCAGTGATGGATCAGCATCCCATATGAATAGTTGTCAAATGTGCTCTATGATTAATGTCAACATGTTTTAATTATTTAAAGAGAAACTGTCAGCGTAACTGCACATGTGCAGGTGAAAGTCTCACATAATTAACAAGTGTTTACATGTTGATAGCAACCAGTTTTTAGAGATTTGTCAATACATATACATGTCAACTAGTATATTTAAACAATTGTCAAAATATATGTCATACTTGGTCATTGTTGAAGTATTAGTTACGTTTGTGATTAATTATTATTATGATACATCTGTCATCGTAACGCCATAAGTTACAGCGTAATTTTGTGGTATTTTACGGGGTGTTCTCATCCTACCTTGCAATGAAATGCAAATTCCTAATATGGAATTACGCGCGCAAGTGTCCTCTAATAATAGAAAAGAAACATGGCTGTCCCCTGGGTACTCAGACAGTACGTGGTCGCATTGACCTCAGCTGTGCGTCGGTCAATACTCATGCTGTACTGTCTTTGTGAATACTTTGCAGTATCCTCATAATAACCTCATATTAAAATTTCACGAAACAGAACAAAAAGTCCACTGAACTTTCCATCTCTTAGTTGATGGATAAATATTGTTATATTATTTTAAAATAATAATTTGACAGATTTATTAAATTTTTGTTTTTAGATATTATATTGATACAAATCCTATGGTAAGTGTTGTAGCTAAACAATTCCAATCACTGAGTTATACCTGGAGAGATAAAATACAAGCTGGTCTTATAGTAGCAGGATGGGACAGTGTGAATTGTGGTCAAGTCTACAGTATACCAATGGGAGGAGCCTGTGTAAGGCAACATGTCACCATATCAGGTAAAATTATTCATTATTCACTGGGTTTTAATTTTGTAATTTTTGCTGATAAGTGAATTCCGCTAATTTAACTTAAGGTAGATGCCTACTCATAAATTTAAAAACCCAGAGTTTATTCATTTTGCAATAAATTGTACTCCAAGGCAATATAAGGATATTGACCTTAAAAAAGTTGGCAGTCACCAGCCTTTTTTTCGAGAAATTGATGGTTGTATTTTAGTGGAAAGTCGCCAGTTTTACACTATTATAACACTTTTACCACAGGTTCCCATGGCAGAGATATTATGCAATATCTCAAAATCTAGCCTGGTGACAGGCTGAAAAAATCATAGTTTGATACAAATGTAATGATGGAGTAATTTTTGTTGTTCTGAACTATTTAAAAAATCTGGGTTTTAAAAAGTGTCAAAAAATGCAATTTTTCTTTAACATTGTGTTCTATGGAATTGTTCTAAAAATAGCAATTTTCA